CCTGATGAAGAATGATGATGCCGCCCTCAAACAGTCCAAGGTGGAACAGCACCAGTCAAGGGAAGACAGACGCCGGCTCGACGGCCTCTACGAGTGCATCCTATGCGCGTGCTGCTCCACCTCGTGCCCGTCCTACTGGTGGGAGGGCGCCCAGGATGACAAGGTATAACGACACACCATCGTCATCGCCTACCGCAACGAACACTCACCACGTTCGCGGTGAATGTTAATTGTTAAAGTTCCTCGGTCCTGCTGCTCTGCTGAACGCGCACCGCTGGATCTCTGACACCCGCGACGACTTCCAGGCAGACAGGTTAGTGGCACTGCCTTTCGCAAAACTTTCCTGCTCGAATCGTTGGTTCACCTTGTTTGTGCTGTCGTGCGCTTGTTGAACAGGCTACGCCAGTTGGCAGAGGCCGACCTGAAAGTCTACGGCTGCCACCAGATCATGAACTGTGCGGTGGTACGTCCTCTCTGCATAAAGGCTTTCGCTCTGCGACAGGGCTCTCTCTCTCTGCGCACAGAGAAGTCCTGTGCTTACGCGCGGTGTGCAGGTGTGTCCCAAGAATCTCAACCCGGGCCTATCGATCGCCCGCATGAAAGACCTCTCGGTCCAGGTGGCCGACCTGGACAAGAAGCTGGAGGACAAGGCTGCCATCGAGCTCGCCATCCGCAAGCGCATGCACCACATGCCGCCTGTCGCAGGAGTCTAGGTCGTGCTTTTTCTTCTTCTTCTTCTTCATCTCTTGCACCGCGCGTGCTCGCACGCAGAAGAACTTGCCAAGAACACAACGTTCGCGCCCACCTATGATGTGTCGTGCATGTGCGGTGGGAAGATCTGCCGGAAATGAAGGGGATCGCCGGCGGTACTGAAAAGCCGGCGAGACACGAGCTACGGCGTGGTGGACGCGCAAACAATTACAGGCCTGACGTTGGTTTGAACGGTTTTGGACTGTGCTGAGCGGGCGGTCACTGCCACCAAGGCCTTCTCTTGATTATTTGTGCTTCTCATTATTTTTAGTGCCGCGTTTCCACTCGCCCTGCAAGAGCCTCCTTCTTTGAAGCGGCACGAGGTCCGGCTAGGCGACCCTTTGAGCCTCTGCCGAGGAGAGGCCACAAACAAAGCGCGTAGAGAGAAGCACGAATCAAAAAATAGCGAAGAAAGAAAGAGCGAAGCGGAGCGATCATAAATCGAAGTGGCCTCCACCACCGCCATGGATTCGTTAGAAACATCTACTCCCGTCGGCAGAATCGATAGCAGAGCGCCCCCTCGGTACCCCCCCAATCCTCTTACAATCTCGATCTGCGGAAATCTCGCCTTGTGCTTTCCGTCCTTCCGCTTCACCTTCATCATCTTCCCCATCTACCGGGGTTCTCCCGCCTCACGTTTGCACCTCCTTCCCACGCGTTCCCGAGGTCTCCTTATGAACTCCACCCACCACGTACATGTTTTTTTATCTAAAAAACATCATTATTTGTCTGCTACGACCATGCAGGCCGGCGAGGAGTGTGGACGACATGCGCGGCTATGGGACAATGAGGGCATCGCGTGACCACCAGCACGAAACGATGAAGCCCTCGCTCTCCTCCTCACCAGCGCCGACCCAGCTGACCACGCTCCGCAACTTTGGCGGCGGCACTTCTTCTTCGCCCGCGGCTGACTCCTCTCCGCTGTCCTCCTCGCTCTCCTCTTCGGGCACCAATCGCCCAACGCCTCCGCCCAAGCCCCGCGTCATTACTTCTACAATGAGTACTCATCTCTTTCGCTCTCTTTCGTTCTTTATCGCTTTTCGTTCTTTTGATCGGCCGATCGGTGCTGTGTTCAATGGACTGACTGTCTGAGTCTTGCTTGCAGGGCCGGCACTGGGTTCTTCCTCTTCGTCCACTTCCGTGTCGCCTTCGCCGCGAACGACTGCACCGCCAGGAAGAATCACGCCGCTACAGAGCCCACAACAGCAACCACCGCCAAACAGCCGACTCACTATGCGACGAGTGGCGCCCATACCGCCTCCCACCAAAGCTCTCCCTCCCCAGCCTCCGCTTACTTCGCCCAGCAGCACTACATCACCGGCGCCTTCGCCGATTCGGCTAGCGCCGCTGAGCTCGTCCAGTTCGGCATTCTCTTCGCTGCCACCAAATCTTCCGCTGCCAGCCGGCGGTGCGTCACCACAGGCCTCACCGTCACGGGTACTGCCCTTTTTCAAGCACCAAACCACGAAGTGTAAACGAATGTCTAACATCTTCTCGCTCTCTCTCTCTGTGTGTGTGTGTGTGTGTGATCATTGATAGCCCAATCCACCACAACGACCGGTAACGATGCAACCGGTGGCCAAGAAGAAAGGATCGAAGCGTCTGCCTCCACCGCCTGCCCTTGGCGCAACGGCTTCCGACAGCGCCCCGCCTTCAACGACCGAGCTATCCTCCTCCCCCTCCTCTTTCACATCCGCGCAGACCTACCCTCGCCTGTCGCCGCTTGCCACGAGCGGAGCTTCGCCCGCCGCCACTGCCGGAACCGCCCCGCGGGCGATGACCCTCCGCAACTTCACCTCCTCCTCTCCGTCCGCTTCACCGTCGCTCGCGTCGTCCCTGTCTGCTTCTTCGGCGTCGCCGGTGGGGGCGCCCAGACCGATGCCCGGCCTGGGTCTCTCCGCTTCCATGCCCGCACAGCAGCAACAGCAGAAGAGCAACGCTTCATCGTCGCCTTCGCTGTCTTCGTCATCGCCGTCACCGTTGTCGACGTCGCCGTCGGGAGTGGGCACGCTGAGGCGGCCGCCGCGACCCACGCCGCCGCCGGCCTACACCAAAGGCGCGCAGCTGCCCCCGCCCACGATCCGGTCGCCCACGGGCTCGCCCCTAAGCTCTCCCTCCTCGTCGCAGCGGGACGTGGCGACCCGGCAGCCCGCCACCGTCGCCGTCGTGGCTGAAACTGTCGGCCGGCCGCCGGCCCAAGACAACAGAGAGGTGGGGGCTATCACCGACAAGCTGGGCACCTTCATTCGACGGCTAGAGAACGTTGAGAAGCAACAGCAACCGCAGCTCCAGCCGCAGCCGCAAGCTCAACCAGAGCCGCAGCCGCAGCCGCAGCCGCAGCCACAGCCACAGCGGCAGCTTCAAGCCCAGACTATTCGACACACGCAGTCGCAGCCGATATTGCGGCAGCCGCTGGAGCCGGCGCTGTCGCTGTCGGCCTCGCAAGTGGAGCTTCAGCAGCGGACGCGCTCGCGCTCGCAGCCGCAGCCCAGCAACCTTTCGCCACAGCAGCAGCACCGGCAGCTGATACTGCAATCGTTCGTAATCCAGGCCCAGCCGCGCCACCAGCAGCAGCCCGCCGAGCAGTCCGCGACGTCGCTCCACCACAGCCACCCGCTGCCGCTTCACTTGCGGCAGGAGGAGATGTCCGTGGCGCGGAGGGTCATCTCAGCCGGCGGCGCCCTGGAAAAGAGCCCCGGCGGTGCTCGGCCGCTGACGGCGCAGGACAGAAACGTGCGGTCGGCCGACGATCTGCGGGTGGTGCAGGAGCGCGGCCACAACAACGAAGAGAAAGCGAAGAGACACGACGACGGTGCGACAGAAAAGAACGAAGCGAAGCAGCAACACCAGCAGTCGCAGGAGGATGGAGTCGAGGGGCTGAATCGGACCTATAGAGTCTTGTACGACTTCACCGGATCGAGTGCCTCCGAACTGACCATCCAGGTTTCTTCCCAAGCCCAATCGTCGTTTTGTTTTTCGCTTTCGCTTTCGCTTTCGCGATTTACTAACTCCTATGCGCTCATGCTCGCCACCGCAGGCTGGATGGATCGTCAAGGGCGGCGAGACGGGCAACGGCTGGCTGGAGGCCACCTACGCTGGCAAGTTCGGCTTCGTGCCGTTCCAGTACGTCCAGGAAATCGACGCGGCCGGCAACCCGATCGAGACGAAAGGCGAAGACCACGAAGAGCCTGTCGACGAGGACGATTCCTACACCGACGAAGAGTTCGGGACAGATGAAGACGCTTCGTCCACGTCATCCAGCACCAGCACCACTCCCTCTCACACCCCGCGGGGAAACGCACCGCCACAACCCTCGCCGGCTTCCGTTCCAACTCCGACGCCCACGCCTGCGGCTGCAGCTCAGCCCGCGGCTGCGATGCCGTCGCCCTCGCCCTCGCCCACGCAGCAACCGCGGCCTCCCGTGCGGATCCTGAAGCCGATGCAGGTGCCCACCTTCCAAACGACGCCGCCGATCGTCACGCTGCCCGTGCCCTCGTCGCCGCGCGCGGGAAGCCCCGAGCCACCAGCGAGCAGCACCAGCACTAGCACCAGCACCACTACCTCCAGCAGCGCTGCCACCTCCCCGCGCCGATTCTCCATGCACCCGGTGGCCACGCAGCCGCGGCCCTCACCACCCCAGCCGCAGCAGCCATCGGGGCGGCCGGTGGTGCCGGTGGGGCGGCTGGGCTCGAGCGCATCGTCGACAACGCCGTCGTCGACACCTTTGTCGACGCACCCGCACCTCTTTGCGACGCTCGCCTCCTCCGCATCGGCGACTCCGGTGCACCCCGCCGCCGCCGCTGCCCGCCCGGTCCCACCGCCCAAGCCCAGCCGGCCCATCGCCGTCGGACCTCCATGCGACCCGGCCGCGCCGCCGCAACCGGGCGCAACGCGGACGCCGCCCGTTCTGTCCCCGCGGCACACGATGGGTCCCTCGATGCCGCTCCACCGCAAGGCGCACCCCACCACCACTACAACGATCCCGTCCAATCTCTCGCGTCCGCTCCAGCCAATCCCCGCACCACGGCCGGTGGAGGCGGTGGTGACGTCAGCAGCACCGCCAGTGACTGCGGCGGCTCCGGTCCGAGGCCCGGTGGCGATGCCGTCCAACATCAGCGGATCGTTCCACGAGCGGATGGCCCACCTGCTGATGCGCAACATGGCCGGCCAGAAGCCCGATGCGCTCTGCCGCAGCGCCGCCGCCGCCGCCGTGTCGGATGACGACGACGATAACGACGACGAAAGCGAAGACGAAATCGACGCCGAGGTGCGTGTGCGTGCGGTGTGCGGTGGTGCGTGTGCGTGGGGCGGACAAACTGACTTAAGACGGTGGTCGCATTCAGGAATGCGACGAAGAGGAAGGCGAAGGCAAAGTGTGGGTCAAGGCGCTCGAGTCGTACGGCGCCCACGAGGATGGCGAACTCAGTCTCAAGCAAGGCGAACTCATTCTTCTTCTCGGTACCGACCGGACGCCAGCCGACCCAGTTCGCTTCTCCTCCGCTCTGACGCCTCTCTCTCTCTCTGTGTGTGTGTGTGTGTCGTGTGTGTCGTGTGTGTGGTTTGTGTGTGCGGTGTGTGTGTGTTAAACAATAGACTACGATGGAGAAGACGAGAGCGGGTGGTGGGAGGCTGAAAAGCAGGACCGGAGCAAAGGCCTCGTGCCGGCTTCGCACGTTGCGCTGTGCGACAGCCAGGGCAACCTGAAGGACCCGCTCGACGCCGCCCGCTTCGGTGCCCAGTCGACGCCCGATGACGACGACAACAACGGCGGCAATGGCGATGTCGGCGACGGCAAGAAGCGCGGCGGCTGGCGCGAACGCATAGAGCGGAAGCGGCAGGAGATGGTGAGCCGGCGCATTGAGCGGGAGCGGAGCAGGCTGAGCGGCGACACCAGCGAAGCCGCCATCCGCCAGGCCGTGCTCGACGAGGAAAGCGGCTACGTCCGCGCCATTCACTCCCACCGAACCAGAGCAAAAGGTGTTAACCCCCCCCCTCTCACCGGTGCTAACCGTCGCTTTCGTTCTTCTTACTCATGCACCTCTTCGTTTTTATAGATCAATTGAGCTTCAAGAAGGGAGCGATCATCTACGTCACGGAAATGAAGGAGGACGAGAACGTGCTCTTCGGCACCATCATCAGCAAGAAGAAGCTCAGGAGGAAGCCCAAGGTACCTTTCCTTTTCCACTCCCCCCCCCTCTCCCTTTCTCGCTGCCGTTTCTCATTCTTCGTTCTTCTTCGTTCTTTTCTTGGAACAGAGCGGCTGGTTCCCGGCCAATTACACCATCCTCACCGACGCGCCCAACTGAGCCTCAGACCACCGTGCATCGGTAGTGTACCACTAGTAAACAGAGCGTAGGGGAAGAAAAAAAGCATCCACTCTGTGATGAAGCTGCAACACGTTGGCGTGTGTGTGTGTGTGTGTTGTCTGTGTTATGCTGTGCGCTGTGTGCTGTGGATGTCGTACGTGTGTGCTGTGGTGTGGACTCCAGTGCTGTAGTGCGCATTACTATAACCGTGCGACCTCGTCGAGCAGGTGCTTGAGTACGAAGCGGTGGCCCAGCGCGAGCCACTCCTCCCGCATGTCGTAGCTGTGCGGACCCAGCTGCTTCCGCTCCTGACCCGGTTGGTGATTGAAGCGGATCGACACCAGCTGCCGATCGGCCTCGCCACCGCCATCGCCGCCGCCGTGGTCGCCTGGAATGCGCTGCTTGAAGGCCGCCAGCACCTCGGGCGCAAAGTAGTCGCGCTGGCTGCTCTGCCCGCGCTCTCGGCGGATCTCGGCCAGCACCTTCTCCTTCGTCTCCTCCACCTCAATCCACTCCGCAAGCTTCGCCATGCTCATCCAGCACGCGCCGTCCACCTCCTACGCACCGCACACGCACCACCGCACACACACGAACGCACCACCACACACGCACGCACTGTGAGAGAGAGGTGGGCGAGAGGGGAAGGCGCGCGGGTGTGGACCTCCTCTTGGAGGTGGAGGGAGAGGTCGGTGGTGGGCTTGTGGACGATGGCGCGGTAGAAGACGACCAGGTGGTGCTTCTTCATCGGGCCGTGGTCCACCTGCGCCGGATAGCACGACTCCCACAGCCCGCACAACCGCATATCCTCGTCCGCCAGCACCACACCTGCGCGTGTGCGGTGAGTGCGGTGGTGCGTGTGCGGCGAGTGCGGTGGTGCGTGTGCGGTGGTGCGTGTGCGGTGCGTACCGGTCTCCTCTTCGACCTCGCGCTTGCCGGCGTGCAGCAGGGATTCGCCCTTCTCGGCGTGGCCGCCCGGCAGCACCCACACTGAGGGGAAGATGAACGCATCGTTCCTTCGTCTGGTTACCAGCACCTTCGTTCCATCTACACGTGTGTGGTTGAGCGTGTGCGGCGTGTGTCACGGTGGATGGATGGATCGAGATGAGGGTACCGTGGTCGTGCGCTTCGATGAGGACTACGACGCCAATCTGCACCCGCGGCTTCCTGAATCGATCTCGGTCGAGCACGTCTGTGGAG